AGTATCACCTAATCAACAAAATAAGCTTAATCAATGCTCCTCCGTCTGGCCTTCCATAACAATTCTAACTCCCCGTTGACGTTTCCCATCTTGCCTTCTGTTAGACCAGATGGTGCCTGCTCTGGCCTCTTTATTATCTTTTTCTGACCAAGTTATTCTTTCCAAAGATCCTTGTAGAAACTCCACCATGTGGAAGCATCAAGAGTCTCAACCTGCCTTTCACACACACTCATTGCTAGTTCTAGCCGCTTTACCTGAACTCTTTCACAGTGTCTTTTTGCCTATCCTATAAGTATTTCATAATATAACCCCCTGGGTCTTTATCTACCCAAAACACATTTTCTTTTCCACTCAGAAGCAGAGTCCACTTCCTGCAAAGTATAGAGATCTGAAGTTGAACCCTAGTTCCGAGGTTAAAAAAAAAAATAGTGAGATGTGGCCACGCATGCACCTAGAACCCCAGAGCTGGAGGAGTTCAGGAAAGAGGCATGAGGATTAAACACATACGACATGATTTTTTTTAATTTTATTTATTTATTTAGTACACCAGCATGTAATCTTTATTTTTCATCTTTCTCTGATATTTCTGAAGATTTTGGCGGTGCGTCTCGGGGGCCATCGTCTCTTACATCATCCTTTTCAGCTTCAAGATCAACTGGGGGAGAGGGAGTATCTCCTGGAGCCCCTCAATGGGCCTCCGAGTCTGACCTAACATTGCTCCGGAGGATGTTGGATTATGTACAGCCCAGCTGCCCCCACCAACTACAGGGTGATCACCAGGCTTCCAATTACAACTCCAGCCCCACTGGTGATTGTTGCTGCTGCTATCATCTCGACTGCTAAGGACGCGGCTTCAATTCTTGCCCCAGTGAAACCCAAGGTACCCGGGCCTATGGGCACAGACACCTCAGCCGGAGCTCCTGCAGCCCCAGCGCCTGGCACTCATCTGATCGTAGTGAGGTGAACTGGTTGCATGGTGTGGTGTTTGATCACAAACAGCAGCTATGACTGTCATCCATCAACAATCACAATGCCTCTTTTTCTATTTTGCTACGAAGGGAATGTTGACATAAGCACTCTTTCTTAGAGAGGCTGGAGAGTGGCATCGCATTAAACACCAGAGTTTAATTACATTGATCTTCTCAGATAATGATCTTCCATTCATTTTCCTATATGAGTCATAATACACATTAAGAGTAACTGACATATTTGAACACCAGCGACACAGTGGGTTGAAATGTAAGCAATTCTCAAACAATTAAACCTGGGGATCTTTTTAACTAGAAATCATCAATGCGCCCCCCCCTCCCACCACCGCATGTGAATGTTTGTGTTACCTGTGTGCACCAAATTTATCTCACAAACTCAAACAAGCAGGTTCTCTGGACCTTCCTTTCATCTTCTCCGAAACAAACTTATGCAATACAAGAAGTGAGAAACAGCAGCTATACAGAGTTGAGAGAAAGCATTGATACATAAATTCCAGAGACTATGTGCCATTGAGTGTGTGAACAAATATGTCAGCTAGGTATTTGACAGATCTAAACAGCACAGCATTGTAAGATTTTTATAGAAAAGGAATTATAATTTGTTGCTGAGGGAATCATATCTACAGGTATCCTCTTCATCCTTGATGGCTGTGGAATGGAATTAACCTGATTATAACAATGCTTCGTATAAAGTTTACCTCTGGATAAGACAGGTTTTGTTGGATGGGATTTCTTTGCTTTCTTTTGTGCAGGGGAAGGCAAAAGTCTGGACTTCAGCACAATATGTTCTTGGTTTCCCAGGTAAAACCATCCGGTAAATGTAAAACTTTGTTTCAGTTTCTCCTACCGTAGGGACATCTCAGTTGTCTATCTTACAACTTTCCTATTTCCAACACCATGCAAGGATTTTCTAAAGCATGTGTAATCAACATTAAAGTGTGTTTGGAACCGTGAACAAAAGGCAGTCTTTAAGCTATAGTTGACGTCTTTCATTCGGCACTTGCCTATATAGCTATACCTTGCTTATCTAAGGGAAAATAACTATCATTGTTCCTTTTTTGATGCCTGAAATACAGAAATTTAGAGCAATCTTACAGAAAGAAGCTTATAACTTGTGCACTGTATCAAGGAGGATAACGTGGCTGGCTTTTTCCTAAAGCTTCAGCAAAGACTTTACGTCATTTTTTCTTGACTGGTCCTTGGACTGTGGAACATTTTGGCTCCTCTTGTCCTATTCAAGAGAAGGGATGTTTTGTTCTGCAATCTCTGATTGCATTACAGTTCCTATTTACATCTGGCCACGAGTTTGCATGCGGGGTCAGCTCAAAGGTCTCAGAGTCATTTCTCTATAAAATCATTTCCTTGCTGACTTCCCATAAATATGGACATAGAAAATAGGTCAGACTGAATCTCCAAAATTGTTTAAAGAAGCATCTTCCAGATTGAGCAATGAACTCCAGGGTTTAGCAAAACATCTGCAGTGTTTTTGCTTTCCTTTGAATAAATGGGAGGAAATTCCCAGATTTCTCTCCACTCTCCCACTTTTCACAATGCCTGCACGTGGCTTTTTCTTCTGTGAAAACGCCATTGACTCACATCGAATTACAACGGAAACTCTGTTAAAAGGAATTGACTGTCTACATTCCAGAAAATGCTGTTGTGAAGGATATTTCTAAGATGGTGTTTTTATATTTCTTTCAGTGTCGGTTCAATTAGAATATGAAACCTAGCCAAGGCTTCAGAGGGTTTTTTATTTTTTTTATTTTTTTTAATTTACTTATTTATTTATTTATAAAAATTTCCACTTCCTCCCCTCCTCCCAATACCCTCCCATTCCCCCCACTCCCTCTCCTCCTCCCTCTCCAGTCCTAAGAGCAGTCAGGGTTTCCTGCCCTGTGGGAAGTTCAAGGTTCTCCCCCCTCCCTCCATGTCTAGGAAGGTGAGCATCCAAACAGACAAGGATCCCAAAAAGCCAGTACATGCAGACGAAACAAGACCCAGTGCCATTGGCAATGACTTCTCAGTCAGCCCCCATGTCAGCCACATTCAGAGAATCCGGTTTGATCACATGCTCGTTCAGTCCCAGTCCAGCTGACCTTGGTGAGCTCTCATTCGATCAGTTCCCTTGTATCAGGGGGCGAACGCACCCCTCACAGTCCTGACTTCCTTTTTCATGTTCTCCCTCCTTCTGCTCCTCATTTGAACCTTGGGGGCTCAGTCCAGTGCTCCAGTGTGGGTCTCCGTCTCTATCTTCATCCATCGTCGAATGAAGGTTCCCTCTGATCAGAGGGTTTTTTAGATGCGTCCTCCATGTTGTTTTAATAATTACAGATCTTTTACATTTACTCTACTCTCACATCAAGTAGGAACGAAAGCCCCCACAAGTCCTTGAGCTACAATTTGTATCCTGATAGATCCTAAGCAAGTCCCAAAGTTTTACTCAATATATTCCTTTAGAACTCTGAGTTTTAGTAGAATTTTAACCCCTCTCCATCCTGTACATTGACTGTGAAATATGACCCATAGGAGTGCAGGATGGATTTCAAAGCCCTCCATGAGAAACTTCTGGAAAGTGTGTGAAGTGTCGCTGACCAGGCTAGTTAACATGACGTCTACTCCAAATCCTCAGTCAATGCTAACTTAATGTGTGTGCAATGAATGCAGATACTCATTTCATTCTTCCATTCATGTGTCGTCAACTAATTTAATGTTTATGAAACAAGTTTATATTTGGTAATCCTTTTATAAACTGTGAGGATGGTAGACAATTAAGACACAGTTAGTTGTCTAAGGGGGCACACAGTTCAGATGAAAAAATCGCACCCAAATGGAGAACCAAGACGTTGAAAGTAGATATGGTGTCTGTCTTGATAATTAGCTGTCGCCATTCTTTAGGTGTGCCAGGTGCATCAGTGGGTATGTGCTTAATGAACCTAGACCAACAAGGGATCAGAATGTAAAAAGATTGTTCTATTTTGACACTGTTACATCTATAACACCTAGAACAACACTGGCTTAATAAGATTAATTTATTAAGTATTTAATAGTAGTGATAGACCTGGAAGATGTCTGCTCATGAGAATGATGTCAATGATAATAAAGAAAGTACACTGACAATTGTGTATACATTATCATTTATCTACAAAAAAAAATCACTTAATCCTCATGCCTATCCTAAAATGTTCAAACTGTTTGTATCCCTGTATTGGGTTGAGGATTAACCACATAAGTCATATAAGTCATAGGCTAGTACTCTATGAAACCAAGATTCAGAAACGAACAGTATGCTTCCAAAATATACCCATTTAGTTGTTCTCCTATCCAAAACTAAGTGCTCTACTTATTTAGATCTAAACACAGCCAGTTTTAAGAGTCTTTAACAATATTCTAAATGGTTGGTATGTTGTTCTCTATTTTCTCTTTCTTTACTGATTGTGGTTTGTGGTCATTTGAATGAGAATGGCCCTGTAGGCTCATAGACTTAAATGTTTGGTTCCCAGTTGGTGGACTCTTTAAGAAGAATTAGGAGGTGAGATCTTATTGGGAAAAGTCAATAAGGATGGGCTTTCAGGTTTCAAAATATCCTCTCCCTCCCCACTTCCCGGCTGCTGCCTGCAATCCAGAGGATGTTCTTAGCTAGTACTGCAGAGCAATGCATGCCTACCTTCCATAAGGCTCCCTGCCACGATGGTCATGGAACAACCCTCTGGTTCTGTACACAAACCCCTATTAATACTTCTTTATTATAAGCTGTCTTGTTGTGGTGCTTCTTCACAGCAATAGACCAGTAACTTAGATATTGAGTTTTGTAAATGGAGACTGAGCTTCCATTTCCCAGCCTCCCAGACACAGAAGCTATATTAATTACAACACGGCTTGACTGATGACTCAGACATATTTCTAGGTAGCTCTTACAGCTTAAATTAATCCATTTCTATTAAACTGTATATCACCACGAGGCTGTGGCTTACCTGTAAGTTTCTCCCTAGCTCTTCTAATCTTTAATGTGTTATTCCATGAAATGTTTGCTTCTTATGTACTTTTAAGGTATAGTTCAGGAAGATGATTCCATATAAGGCCTATGTAAGGTACCAAATAAGGAAAATAAGAGACAAAAAAATTGTAATAAGCAAGAAAAAATAGATTGATAATAAGGATTTGGATGAGCAAAGATCATGATTCTAAGTGTAGAAATAAGAAGCATTCACCAACTTACAGCTGACAGAGGGCCAGTGACTTCAACATAGCTGGGGAAAGGAGTAGTCGTTTCTTTGCCATGTTGGACTTCTGTGGAATCAAAACTGTATGCATTTGCTTGTTGATGCTGTGGTAACAATCATGATCAAAGAGCAACTTGTGAAACAAAGGATGCTTCTGTTTTCATCTTACAGATAGTTTATACTCCATCACGAGGTATGTCAAGGCAGGAACTCACAGCAGAACTATAAAGACAGAGTGCGAAGCAAATACCAAGGCGGAACACTGCTTACTTGTTAGTTTCCCTTGGTTTGTTCAGCTTGTCTTTTTATATATTCTAGGACCACATGTCCAAGGTTGGTACCACCATAGTGTTCTGGCCCTTCCCACATCAATAGTAAACAAAATGCCCCATTGAATATGCCCACAGGCCAATATGATAAAGGCAGTTTCTTAATTGAGATTTTCTCTTCCTAGGTGATCACCTAGTTAATGTCAAGTTCATAAAAAGTCACCAGTACAATCACTTAGATCTGTAGTTAGCTCTCCATCTGTGGTGAGCATACATTTGAAGTTATGTGACTTCTTCTACTGGCGCTGAGACACTCTACTGGAGCTGCTCTCTCTGTCTGTCTCTCTCTCTTCTCTGTCTCTCTCTCTTTTTCTTCTCTGTCTCTCTCTCTCTCTCCTCTCTCTCTCTCTCTCTCTCTCTCTCTCTCTCTCTCTCTGTGTGTGTGTGTGTGTGTGTTGGGAGTATTTTCAGAGACAATATGGCTGTCTTTCCCCAGGTAGTATGGAGTGGTCTACTTCTAACTCTCCCATATGGATCCCAGGACCACGATCAACAAGGCTGAATGGTCTGAGGATAGGATATCCTTAGATGAAACCCCAGGTTTGCCATTCTCCTCGGTGTGGTGTTGAGTGGAATGTTTCTACTCGATGAATGGAATCTGATGGGTATCTGCAAAGATGCCTTAAAAAGAGTTCCCAGAGAATGCGCTAAAGACACCGAGTAAGGCACGCTCTTGGTGAAGGAAGTAAGAATGAAGTAAGTAAGACTGCTGGCAAGTTGTCATGGCAGCTGCATTAACTCTGCTCTGTTCTGTGTGACAAAGTGTGCAGCTGGGATGCTCAGTGTGAACTTGCCAGTTTAAGGAGTGAATTACTAGGCAAGGGATACGCAGCAAATTCTCCATCTTAACCTTTGAACTGACAGGAAAATCGGACAGGAGAGAATGAGATGTGGCTGTTAGTTTACCATTTGCTTATGGGTGGTATAAGAGAACCCATAAGATATATGGTTCTTATACCATGGTATAAGAACGAGAAAAAAAAAGAGTGAAGTTAGATAGGTGCTAGAAAATCCAGGAAACTCTAAACTTGGAGAGCAGGGGGAGGAGTCCAACATTGAGGAAGATTGTGGACAAGGGAGATACGATAGAAGATAGCCCTCAGATTCGAGCTTTGATAAAGAAGGGGAAGTCCAGAGCTGAACATGGAACTGGGAGCTTCAGAAATGAATGGGAATATCAAGAAATGTTCCTCACCTGAAATTTATGAATTTGGAAAGACTTCATTTCTTGACAAGCAAGGAAACGACCCAGCATAGCCTAAATCATGTGACATTGAGTGTGGAAGCTGATATCGCCTGGTCTTGAGGACTGTCACAGCAGAAGAGTTGAGTAACACAGCTGCATTCCTAAGAAAAAGCCTACACAGCCAGAGACAGCAGGAGGGAGATCAGTCCCTGATGAACTGGCTTATGTGGGCCATTAGTGATACTGGGTAGCACTGTCTGAGGTCCCTGTGAATAAGAGGGACTAGAAGATAATAGAGGAAGGAAGGGCATTATTGATAAACGGAGTAAAATAAAAGCAATTTCACCAGGATAGAGAGGACTGTGCTTTCAGTAGAGCTAAAAGAGAAAAAAAAAAAGGTTGATTCAGGACTTGTGAAATAAGTAAATGTCTAAAAGCACTAATGACTTGAGTTCAATCCCCATACAGTGGAAGGAGAGAACTGATTTCTAAAAACTGCCATATAACCTCCACATGCATACTGTGATACACACACACACACACACAAAATGTCAAAAATTCAAAGAAAGGAGTTGGTTCAGCACTGGTCTCAGGAACATAATGAAGCTTTAATGACTTTGTTGGGACCCATGAAGACTTGTGATCCTAATAAGATGCATGATGGTTTGGCAGAACTGAAATGACTTAGACTATTACGTAAACAGAGTTTGTAAAGTGTAAGGATAATCAGGAGCGGATGAAAGACAGCGAAGCAGAAAACGGGGTCTATCTCGGCCACTTGAAGGCAAATGGGGTAAGATTTGTGTCAAGAAAGAATTTCTAGGGAGAGAAAATTATAAGGACCCCAAATGCTTTGCTAGCCAGCTGCTGGAAGGCTACAAAGCCCGAACAGCAGTTCATAACAGACATAATTAGTGCAGCAACACAAATGGAAAAGATTAAGCTTGACCTAGGGGTGGGTAATATTGCCCTCAGAATACCTAACACAAAGTACACTGGGAGGGAGCAATTGTTGACCCCGTCTGGGAACCTCTCATGAGTTAGGTGTAGGCAATGGGAGAGAAAGATCACAGTGTTGGGTCTGAGGCTGGCAGGATCGGGGAGCAGTTCCAATGGAAGATGCAGCAGGACAAGTGCAACACATTGTCCTCAGCGTTCTGAGGTGGCGCAAGCCTGTTGACTGAAACCCTCAGGGGTTGGGAGATGCAAACAGCCCTGCAGTGGCAGCAAGGCTCCAAGGTGAAAATCAGGCCAGATATTTGTGCTTTCCTTCACTCATCAATGCCAGCAGCCATCAGTGGAGTCTTAAAGATAGCTTTATGTAACGGGAGGTATGCAGGGAGACCCATCACTTGTCAAGCTTCTGAGAATAAGCGATTGTTACCATGACACAGTGGCCAAACTCTCAGATGCAGAGAGAAGAAAATAATTAGACAAGTGTGTCAGCCTCGCCAAAGATCAGGGGATATTGCAAGAAAGATGGCCAAAAGAATGTAAGAGCTTTGGGGGAAAGATAGAGTGGTGTGTAGCAGTTTCTTCTGAATTGAAACATTCCACCGTGGAGAAGAACTCCTTAAGACTTAGAACATAAGCAAAACCTACAAGACTGAGGACTTAAACAGTTACCAAGTCTGAGTTTTTTAAGATTCACAAAGCCCCTCCCCAGAGTTCTATAAGCAGCAAGAAAGAAGAGTCTCTGGACTATGCATTAGCCTTCAACGTGTACGGGAAGCTGTCCCTCAAGTAGAGTGGGTTTCCAAGGATGCGGTTGACCCTGAGTCATGCTTATTCTAGTATTAATTCCCATCACCCACACTTCAGTAAGAAACCCAGGTGTCTTAATTGGTTTGCTAAGCTGGTGTCTTTCCGGTTACAAGACATTTGTCCAGTAGTTACAACAAAGGCAATGTGACCCCCAGATCTTCATGTATTTCTGATCAAATATAGCGATTCAATTCTAACAGACTGATCACCTGCTATCTTGGATCTCAGGTTCACGACCTCTGTCCTTCAAAACATACGGGTATGTTTCTAAATGTTCATCAATTAGTCAATGTTTCTTAACTATTATTCTGATAGACACTGCTTCAAAACAAATCTTCATATACAAGTTATACATCAATGTAACTGAGGCAGGGTTCTGAAGCCCCTACTTATAACTGAATTAAGTTCTTGACAACTCAAAAATATTTAGTTAACATTTAGTTAGGAGTCTCTCTAGTATACCTCCTATTGCAAAAGAAGTTTCTTTCCATGGCCCACTGAGGCTGATGGCAACAATGTTCTACAGACAGGGATAAGGCAGATCTGAGTGTCTGTCAAAGTGTTGGTGGGATGTGAAAAATAGAGACAAGGTAGCGATTTCCACTTCATCTAGACATTAGACTGGAGAGATGCAAGGAATTCTACCAAACAGTGCCAATTTTTATCTCTAATATTTTCTTAGATTTCTTCTGTTTCCCTTAGCTGGTCCCTAAAGCCACATCGAAATCCCTCCTCCTCTCTGAACGGAAGTGGTGTGAGACAAAGCTTCTCTGTGGGTGCCCAGGGACCTCCTTCTGGCTCTCTCCTATCACTTCGTGGATTATCTTAATTGATCAACCATCTCACTTTGCAGACAGACATTGGTTGCCTTTTGTCTTAAGTAGTAATAATTGCTTGTAAGTTGAGGGACAGGAGAAAAGCTTACATTGTCTCCAGAGCTGATTTCCAGGTCTAGCATCTCTGCCTAATGTTCCAGCCTCCTCTAACACTACGGTGACTCATTTTTGCGAATGGTAAATATGCCTCTTTAAAGTCAAACTGAAACTCCAGCATGCAGCCTTATTTTGAATAAGGGTCTTTACATAATGCAGTTAAGCTAAGGATCTCAAGATGCGGTCACACAACACTAAGGTGCACCCTATTCTAACTCCACTGACATGACGAGAGACAGAAAGCACAAATATGCAGGTAAGAAAGCTGTACGAAGATGGAGACAGAGTTTAGAGTGATGCTTTACAAAATAGCCACCAAAATAGTTTGAGAAGGATGGATCAGATTTGCCCTGAGAGCCTCTGAACAGAAACCAACCTTGATAATATCTTGATTTGTGACTTCTAGCCTCCAGGACCATGAAAGAATACATTTCTGTCATTTGAAGCTACCGAATTTGTGGCCATTTGTTACAATGCCCTAGGAAATAAGCGCACACATTATTAAATCATTCCCATCTTCTAATTCTCCGTGCCACTAAAAATCAGAGCACCGTGATCTGTTTTATTTGGTCCCTGCCTTACAGATTGCTGTAATGTTGAGGGAGGGAAATTTATAATGGGATCCTTTAAGTCATAGACGTTGAAGAACACAACTTTTCTCCAAGGATTTATTTTTTATTATTATTTAATGGGAGTTCCACATCTGTTAAAAATACATTTTCTTAGATGAAAATATTTTTTAGGAAAGAGCCCAAAACATCTATAAAAAAGATATACCTGCCAAACATTAGTTGCTGACCAAGATATAACTGTTTTATTAATCTCACTCTAGTATGTTAACATGTACTTGATTTTTAATATAGATGCTCCGCACCTTGCCTCTGGGCTTCAAAACACATAAATCACATCCTCAGACAGTTTTCTCCTTTGGAGTTAAAATTTTAAAATATGGTGTCTTCTTTTTCAAAAAGTGGTTAAATGAGTAATTTTATTTTGAATTTTAAAATGTCAGGATTCTCACATTTACCAGTGAGATTTCATCAGTTAGATAATGGATTGTCAAATGTCACTATTGTGTTTTACTCTCAAAATAACTACATGCTGTATGCTTAGGAAAATATCATATCATTATAAAGTAATTCTGGGTTCTAGTAGATTACTTAGTAATTATACTTAATATTGCAGTTCAAAAAGTGATTACTATGAAAGCTCATTATAAAAGGCAGAAATAGTCACATATGTGCCCTTAATTATATCTGCCACAATAGGAGTTAATGTTAATTGAAATGATTTATAATTATTATAGTAACTCAATTAAAAGGATTACTAGAAGCGATAACCAACTTTCTAAATAACAAGGATCATTTCAGTTCCAGAAAACTTAGAGGAGGGTCCTCACAATCTAATTCTGTTTGCTTCTTTACTTAGCAAATATTTTCAAGAAAAAATTCTAATCATGTATTCACCCTTATCTCCCTATACTTAGGACTAACACCTGGAAGTACTCCATAAGTTTATACTAGAAAAATGAATAAATTATTTGTATGATTTGTTAAGGGCAATCTAAAATTGGATAATTTATTAAAATGTGTCATGAATATCTAACTTGATGATTCTAGAGTAGTCAGAGTTCATTGACCCCTTTGGAAGTGACATAAAGGCTCCAGACCTTTCTCAGTAGTATGTATGCAAATTCAAAGTTTTGTAGACACATTCAGCTGGTTCAAGGATTTCCCAAAGTCTATAGGAGCTCAGCTCTAAGCCTATCTTGTTCCAGTTAACCTGGTATTTTCTGTGCTTATCCATCTTACAGCAAAACACAGGGTTTCATCACTCTTTTTACAACTGCATTGTCTACTATTGTGTATAGACAACATGTGTTTTAAATCACCTCATCTTTGATAGACGTGTTAAAAATGCTTAATGTTATTTATTAAAAAACAAGAAGACTTTGGATGTTCTGCATTTTAGGTTCTGTGATCCTTACAAATCTATATGTATATAAAAATATCTCATTATATCCCACAAATATGAACAATAATTGCAAGCAAACTAAGACAAATGTAAAAGTTATAAAAGAAAATGACTGTAGATGACAGCAGCGTTTTATGAACCGTACTAACAGCTACCAGGTGCTTGTGGTTAGGTACATCCCAGGGAAAATAATAGGAAATGGTGTTCCTTTTGCTAGTATTCAAACAGATACCTAGAAAGATAGAGCATTATTCTACTCCTAATTTGCTTTGTTTCACAATCACTTCTAAATTAGCAGGTACCAGGAATTATATAAAATCTCTTTCTTCAATGGGTGACAATAAACATTGTACACTTCCAAAGCAGCTATATACCCCACTGAAGACTAAGACAACCAAATGCACAAGATCTGATCTGTGAGAGATCCTCGGCTCTACCGATGAAATCTTGTTCTTCATCCATCCCTAGTCAGGGACATTTGCGAGCCACACCTAGTGTTAAGATAATATCCTGGAAGATGGAGAGGGTGTGAATGTCTGGGGACATACTTATTAAGACTTTCAGGCTTTCAGAATCCCAGGTCTGGGATTAGTTGGGCATAATAAGTGCCAGCGAGAGGTGCTACCCGTGTGAAGCTGGCCTGATTCACCAAAGACCTGAAACAAAGCTCAGGAAGTACCATGTGTGAGGCAGAAGAGACTGCTTGGCAGCTAGGTGGACAGGCTGCTCTTGCAGAGGGTCCATGTTTCCGCACCATGTCAGGTGGCTCACAGTTGCCTGTGACTCTAGCTACAGAGGCATCTGACCTTCAGTGGAACTTGCACTAGCAGGCAGGCAGCCTTACACACACACACACACACACACACACACACACACACACACACACATACATACACAAAAATAAAAATAAGTTTGTTATAAATTCAGTTTGACAATTAGCCTTGAAATCCAGAAGGAAGGAAGAAAGAGTGCTGCAGGTGAGGGTAGAAGGGAAGCTTGAGTCAAGGCAACTCAATAACACAGCCTTTTTTTGTTCTACTCCTTCATCCTGTTGTATACACTAGACCGTGAGAAGGAACAAAATTAAATGAGTCCAAAGTTCAATTCATATCTGAGTCGCAGAAACCTGACAGAGAGTCTGAAAATGCAGCGTGCGGGTTCTGGAGGCCTGAAAATATTACCTATTTCGGAATTTCTCTGGGGAACCAAATACGTGGGACCTTGGAGCAATTTTTATGACCTTTCTTCCTCATTTTTTATGGCAGAATATAGCCTCAGTATAAGCTCTGAGAGAGTTAATCTAGATTAGAACACATCTGCCATGCCATTACATCAACAAGGGATATAACCCCAGTCCCCATTCCTCAGCCATACAGCACACTGCCCGCATCTCCCCTGATCTACATAATCACTTGTCAAGATGAGTGATTTCCATTGACTTGTCAATGTTTCTGGGTTTTTTTTTTTAACATTGCTTGTGATTGATTTAACATATTTTAACTGACATACTTTTCTATGCAACTGGATACCATGAATGAATATATTTGATAGATATTTCTTCTTCCTTCTACTTCCTAAATGGGTTCAGTGTTCATGAAATGAGCTGAATTTCCCTGGAGAATTAAATTCATTATACTGTTGCCTCTCAGTCACAGGTGATACCTGAACACACAGATATCCCAATGCATTCCTTTATCTTGCCTAGCAGAGCTGGCATAAGAAGGGTGGAGAAGTCTGTTCCCATTTCGGCGTGAACTGTTTTAGATACCTCTTTATCCCAAGGAAAAAATGTAAAACTCTTCACAGCTGCAAAGAGTACACACACTTTAGAGGAATCCTGTCTCGAAAAACCAAAAGAGAAAGAAAGAAAGAAAGAAAGAAAGAAAGAAAGAAAGAAAGAAAGA